GCCAAGATTGAAAGTTATGGGAAGATATTCCTGAAGATGACTTCCGGCAAGATGTTAATGCTCCACAATGTTCTTCATGTTCCTACAATTAACAAGAATTTAGTTTCTACTTCTTTACTTGTGAAGAATAGATTCAAATGTGTATTTGTTTCTGATGAAGTTGGTGTAAGTAAGAATGAAGTGTATGTTGGAAAAGGATACCTCACGGAGGCCTTTTCAAACTCAATGTAATGGTTGTTGACAGTATGAATAAAATTTTAGCTTCTTCTTATTTATTGGAGTCAAATGATTTATGGCATATTCATTTAGGATATGTCAATTATAAAACCTTGTGGAAGTTAATTAATTTAGAAGTATTACCTAAATTCGAGTGTAATAAATCGAAATGTCAAATATGTGTTGAATCCAAGTTTGTAAAACATTCTTATAAGTCTGTTGAAAGTAATTCAAATCATTTAGACTTAATTCATACTAACATTTGCGATATGAAGTTGACACCATCTCGAGGTGGGAAAAAGTATTTTATTACTTTTATTGAAAATTGCACTCGATATTGTTATGTTTATTTGCTTAAAAGTAAGGATGAAGCAATTGAAGCATATAAGCAATACAAGAATGAAGTGGAGAATCAATTGAATAAAAAGGTCAAAATGATTAGAAGTAATATGGGTGGAGAGTATGAATCTCCGTTTGCAGAAATATGTCCAGAATATGGAATTATCCATCAAACTACTGCACCTTACATACCTCAATCCAATGGAATTGTGGAAAGGAAAAATCGGACATTAAAGGAAATGACGAATTCGTTATTAATAAGTTCTGCATTACCGCAGAGTTTGTGGGGGGAAGCTATCCTTACAGCTAACCGAATACTTAATAGAGTACCCCACAGAAAAACGTAATTTATTCCATATGAAAAATGGAAAGGAAGAAAACTCAACTTGAAATATTTCAAAGTGTGGGGGTGTCTAGCAAATGTACAAGTTCTTTTACCTAAAAGGGTTAAAATCGGACCAAAAATGGTAGACTGCGTATTTATTGGATATGCTACAAACAGTAAAGCTTGTCGGTTTTTGGTTCATAAATTCGATAATCCCAATATTCATGTTAATACGATAATGGAATCAGATAATGCTGAATTCTTTGAAAGCATTTATCCATATAAAACTGAATGTGAGTCGTTAAGTGAAAGACCTAAATGACTTCGGGAAGAACCAAAGGAAAATACTCCAAGTGTAGAAGATCCTAGCCATAGCAAATGTCAAAGAACATCTACTTCCTTTGGACCAGATTTTGTGACATTCTTGCTTGAAAATGAGCCTCATACTTTTAAAGCAGCTATGTCATCTTCTGATTCAACGTTTTGGAAAGAAGTAGTCAATAGTGAGATTCAATCAATTTTGGATAATCATACATGGGAATTGGTTGATCTTCCTCCAGGAAATAAGCCTTTAGGTTCGAAATGGATCTTTAAACGAAAAATGAAAGCTGATGGCACTATTGACAAATATAAGGCAAGACTTGTTGTCAAAGGCTTTAGACAAAAGGAAGGCCTTAATTACTTTGACACTTACTCGCTAGTAATGAGGATAACATCTATTACGACGTTAGTGGCACTAGTGGTCGTGTATGGTCTTGAAATCCATCAAATGGATTTTAAAACAGCTTTCTTAAATGGAGAATTGGAGGAAGAGATTTACATAGAAAAACCTGAGGGTTTTGTGGTTTCTGGTAAAGAAAAGAAAGTGTGCAAACTTGCTAAGTCGCTTTAGGATTTAAACAAGCACCCAGACAATAGCATGCCAAATTTGACCAAACAATGTTGGAAAGTGGGTTTAAAATCAACGAGTGTGACAAATGTGTTTATATTAAAAACACTCCAGGTCATGAAGTCATTATTTGTTTACAAGTTGATGACATGTTGATAATGAGCAAAAGTATGGCAGATATAAATGCTACGAAGCGCATGTTGACTAGCAAATTCGACATGAAAGACTTAGAAGCTGATGACGTGATCTTAGGAATCAGAATTCATAAGACTCCACAAGGTCTAGCATTATCATAGTCTCACTACGTTGAAAAAGTACTTGACAAGTTCAAGTATTTGGATTTCAAGATTGCCAAGACTCCAATTGACGTGAGTTATACACTTCAAAAGAATGAAGGTGAAAGTGACTCACAATTGGACAATGCAAGAGTATTGGGAAGTTTGATATATATTATGAATTTTATGCGACCAGATATAGCATATGTACCCGATAATTAATCAATTACCCGCATAATTTAAAAATTAACACAAATTACTTAAAATATTACACATTTTCCACATACCGTATACACTTTACTAGCATGGTCATGTAGTATCTTGTATGACACTAGTCCATAAATACCGGGTATTTTAGCTCGGGCCGTATTTTACTCCAAAATGCCAAACTTTGACAAAATTCGTTTTCTTCGATATTACTTACCCTCTTACCTTCACGAATTTACTCATGACTTATAATCCTTATAATCCCCAAATAATTTTTTCCTTGGACTGATGTCAATTACCTTACGACAAATTCAACGTATAATACTGTAGGGTGCAACATCGTCGTAACTTATTACTACGAAGCGTAATATCACCGTAATGTAATACTACAGGGTGCAACACTGTCATAACTTATTACTGCGAAGCGTAACATCACCGTAATGTAATACTGTTGGGTACAACACTGTCATAACTTATTACTGCGAAGCGTAACATCACCGTAATGTAATACTGTTGGGTACAACACTGTCATAACTTAATACTGCAGGACGTAACATCAATCGTAATATATTACTGCAAAGGGTAACATCATCGTAATATATTGCTACAGAGCATAACATCGATGTAATACTGTAGGGCGTAACAATGTGCTATTAGCAAACTGAGTCGATTTACAAGTAATCCCAATCAAATACATTGGATGGCAATAAAATGAGTTTTGGGGTATCTGAAACATACCCAAAATTATGCTTTGCATTATAACAAATATCCCTCCATGATTGAGGGATATAGTGATGCAAATTGTATCACTGAAGTTAAATCCATGAGTGGATATATTTTCACAATTGGGGGCGGAGCAGTGTCTTGGAAATCATCCAAACAAACGTGCATCGCCAATTCTACAATGGAATCTAAATTCATAGCTTTAGATAAGGCCGGTGAAGAAGCTGAATGGCTCCGAAATTTCTTGAAAGATATTCCATTTTGGCCCAAACTATTGGCACCTATTTGTATGTATTGTGATAGTCAAGCGGCAATAGGCAGGGCAGGGAGCATTATGTATAAGGAAAAATCTCGTCATATACGACGGAGACACAATACCGTTAGACAACTACTCTCTAGTGGTGTTATCATGATTGACTATGTAAAGTCAAGAGATAATGTGTCGGATCCACTTACAAAAGGCTTATCTAGAGAGGCAGTTGAAAGATCATCAAATGGAATGGGGTTAAGGTCTAGGACAAGTCATCATGGCAGTAACTCTACCTAGTAGACTGGAGATCCTGCGAGTTAGGTTCAAAGAGATCAAACAAAGTTATGAATGATGGTTCAACATTGTCGAACAAATCAACCCATTCTCGTGATGATGATAATGTTCATAAATCGAGGTAAAGCATTAACGCTTTTTGATGGGTCAATAAAACTTAAAGCTTTTTAATGATTTGCTAAGTCTGGCGGGATATCACCAGATAGTGTGTCTATAGGATTACACATTTAGAAATCACCTATGTGAGTGTGAAGTGCAAGCCGCTTCAAGGGGAATGAAAGTAAAGGCTCATTCTCTAAGCACTCATGAAACCAGACGGTGTTCATTGATTGTGTGACTTATGTTGTCTAGGTATACAACAAAGCTCGACGGTTCAAAGATATCAAATCTACTGATTGACCAAGTATATCTGATATAAGTTCACTACGAAAATTTCAAAGGGAAACCTACTTATTCAGATGCAATTAATTCTTGCATGTAAAATGCGCACGTGTCCGTGCATTCCTTTATTTTATAGCCATTTCTCATTCATGTGGGAGATTGTTGGGCTTTAAGTTTGGTGTAGCTTAATTTTAAGCTTAGTGTAGCTTAAAGAGGGTGAATGAGAAATGGAGGGAAAATGAAATATTTGAGTTTCCCTCCTTGGCAAACGGACATTATCCAATATTGGAGGAAGAAAAGAATTTCGATGGGTATATATACAATTGCTCTCTTCTATCTCTTAAAGAGTTAAGAAGAAGGCAAGCCTCGCGTCGTAGTCGTCGTCGCTCGCTCAGCTCGGGTTCGGCTTCGGCTTCGGATTCGGTTTCGGATTCGGATTCGGATTTGGTCAAAGATCAATTAATTGATTGATTAATCTTTTTGGACAAAATTCCTTTCAATTATTTAATTAATTAACGAAAATTCAATCTGAAATAACACATGCCTTCTTCGGAGTAAAGAACCTAGGAGTACTTGTTGTATTTTCAATAAACAAATTGAGGTTAATATGATCAATCTCATTATTAATAAATATTAAAAGGTGAGTTTCTTAATATATATATATAATCAAAAAAAAATCAATTAAAGTGGATCAGGGGTATAAATCATTCTCAAAGAAACTGTGCGTAAAAACAATTTTTATGCCAATTGAGAAACAGACATCTTTAAATTAAAGTTTAAAGTGACTCAGAAAATTGGTTAAACTAAATTAATAACAATACTAAATATAATTCTAGTAATTTGTTATTCATTAATTATGACTCTATCAACTACTATAATAGCAAGTGCCTGATTCTAACAATCTCACAATATGTAGATAAATCATATCTGTATTTGAATAATTGCTGAGTTAGATTCCTCATCACTACTAATTAAAACATTTAAATTCTTTTTTTTTTCTCACCTATATAAACACATCAAGAAATCAGTAGTATACCAAGCATAAACCATTTTCTTCCTTTTCCTCTATTATTATTCCTTCAAATTATTTTAATAATGTTGATGAATAACTCATTCATCATTTTGATAGCTATAATTTTGACACTATTTTTAGATAAATTTCACAAGCCAATTAAAGCTTTTTCAAACCCTAGTTATGTTTATACAGATGGAACTCATTTTGCATTAGAAGGAAAGCCATTTTATTTAAATGGTTTTAATTCTTATTGGCTAATGTATATGGCTTCTGATCCATCAACAAGAAATAAGGTTACAACAACATTTCAACAAGCTTCTAAATATGGTATGAATGTTGCTAGAACTTGGGCTTTTACTGATGGCGGTTCTAGACCCTTACAGTCTTCGCCTGGTGTTTACAACGAGCAAATGTTTGAGGTTAGTATTTGATTTTCGGAAAATGACACTGTATAGCCGCTATTAACTCACTCTCTATCTCTCTCTATACATACATACATATATATATATATATATATATATATGAAAATACCTCGACAAAGAGGGATCTCCGAGATCCGAGGGAGATATGTCTTTTGTAGGTGATGGAAAAGTGTAGTTAATTCACTATAAATAGACTGAACACCGTAGTAGGAGCTACATCTCTCAAGGATTGACTCAAAGGTAGCCATACTTATCTTACGATATAAGTGGACTACCTGCGATATCGAAAACCATGAGAGATAAAGTAGAACCGGTCAGCCTTGGCATCATGACGTCGAATCATCTTTCGATGAAACGAAGGTATGATGCGAGGAAATGTGTGTGTACATATATATATATGATGCGGCTACCGAATATAAATAGTTTCGGCCACGTGCTAAAATTGATTTTTGCCATTTGATTTTCTTTTTGTTCTTTTGCTTTCTTTTCAATTGCGCTAAGTATTTGATTTTGGGGAATGATACTGTGTAGTCGCTCTCAACATAGTAATCGAATAATATGTATTTTTTTGTGTGTGTGCGTATGTGTGTGCATATATATATATATGTGCGCGCGCGCGTTATACAAAAAAATATATAATTTTTATATACTTTTATTGTTACTGGTGTAAATAGTTTCGGCGGCGTACTTTTTGTCCTTTGATTTTCTCTTCGTTTTTTGGCTTTCTTTTCACGTGCGCTAAGTTTAAAACCAAATCCGACGAAAAAGAATGGAAAGAAATTATTTGAGATTTTTATTTTATATTTTTTAACCAAGAGAAATTCATGAATCGTGAATTCGTGATATATAAAAATTGAATCTGAAAAAGAATCAGAAGAGATTCGCTTGAAGGATTTTTATGCTCAAAATTGAATTTAATATGCAGGCAGACCTTCTTTCGGGATTTTTTTTCCTTATAGAATTGGTTTTTAAAGATTTAGAACTTTTTTTTTAATCCTTTGCCATATTCAACTTTTTTTTAATTCATTTATCTTTAAAAAATGAGTGATTTAACGGTGAAAAAGAAGTGTGTAATTATATCATTAGATAATGCTTTCCTGATTTTGATTATTGTTATATGCTTTTAATCGCATATTTTAATTTTATTCTGAAAACTCATATCTAATAGAATCTCATTTATTCAGCAGAAATTAGAAACTCTCTCCTAAATCTGATTCTACTTCTATCATTTTATTCATTATGATAATCAAAATTAAAGGAATCAAAGCAATTTATTAATTTTATTCTCATCCCAATTATTTCCTTTATGAGCTTCATTATTACTAGAATTACTACGCGCTTCTATTGAAAATTAAATAAATAATAAAGTAGAGATCTCAAGTTAAGTATTGGATATAATCCTACACTAAAAGTAAAAAAGTCTTTTAAGATGAAATGTGAAGTTGCTCTCTCGACAAAATTGGAATAAGTTGAACCAAAAAATCTCGATTCAAGATAAATTCACGATTAAGTGGTATTTCTATAGAAGATATTTCTAGTGTTTCGAAATTAATTAATCGGTAAAAATATATGCATTTGATGTTGCGCTTTCTTTTACTCGATTTTTGTGTTATATTTCCTTTTTTGATATATTTTTTTTATTTATTTTATTTATTTTTGTTTATCAGGGATTGGATTTTGTGATATCAGAAGCCCAAAAATATGGAATTCACTTGATTCTTGGATTAGTTAACAACTACACCCTTGCACGCACACTCACTATATCTATATACGTATAAGGATGTGGTCTCACACATTAATAAAACTATTGAAGTCTCGTAAAAGCAGGTCGGCTCCAATGATAGATTTGTCTTCAAAAAAATCTCGATCTCGGTAGAAACGAACGTATGATATTATTGTACTTCTGACATATTCAGAAAATCAAATTTTTATTAAATATTAAGAGAAACTTTCAAATTATTATTATTATTATTTGGTAAATAAGAATTTTATTACCAAGTAACGATATTTACAACTCATCTAACTATTACAAAATTTGTCTAGCATATCACCAACTGGACATGAAGCCCCAGTAAGATGATATCTAGCCTTTGCATCTCCTATCCGTCATCAACTTCTATTACTATTCTATTCTAGCTAATTTTCGGGTATCAGTTCAAAGTAGTTAGCACCTTCTCTAGATAACCTTGCTGCCCTTATATGCACTTCCTGGATAATAAGCTTGATTAACGATATTATTATTATTATTATTATTATTATTATTATTATTATTATTATTATTATTATTATTAGCATAACCCCTATGCAAAAATGACATGTATAAACCGAGAAATGGTCCCATTTTTAATTATGATCTCAATATCTATCTTTTATGGAATAAAATGTAGTAATTAATATGGTTCTTATTGCTATTTACTATGATTTATTTTTATACTTTTTTTTCTTAATGATATATCTATATATTTTTACTTATATTGTTTTTGCAGGTTGTGCTTACAAGAGTGAACACAATAACCAAAGTGGCATATAAAGATGATCCAACAATTCTTGCATGGGAACTAATGAATGAGGCTCGTTGCCCATCTGACCTCTCTGGAAAAACTATTCAGGTCTTTTCTCCTTCTTAACCTCACAAAAAATTTGAACTAATTAAAAATATAAATAAATATTAATATGATCAAAAGTGGAATTATGATTTGAAGCATATAGGTTCGAGATTCCGTTTGAGTTACTAGGTCCCAAATTATAATTCTGGCCCGTAAGGGTTAGCTGAGTTGGTTGGTTGATTGATTTCCCATATGAGGGACATAGAATCGATTTTCCTCACCAGTTGCCTACTCAGTCAGAGCTCGTTGCATCGGGCTTGTCCAGAGCGGTTACATCTTGTGTGTGATTTGCGAGCTATTACACAGTGAGCAGGGTACCCTGTGTGCACCCGAAGGATAACAACTGCAGATTTCCCTGGGAATTTTCCAAAAACTAAAATGAATGCACCTTTGATCACCGGTAATTGTACGTCATTACTTATTTGAGATGTTTTTTTCCTTCCAAAGTGAAATAATCACTCTTCTAGCTTATTGCGCTCAATCTACATCCTACATAACTCGATGTTGCTTTTCTTCTTAGACACAGAAGATTTTTGCTCTCGTTTTGCGGGTTTTCCACTTCGTATTGTCTATTAATTTTACTATTTTCTATGAAGTATTAAATAACATTCTTTTTTTCTCGGAATTATATTTTTGCAGAACTGGATCACAGAAATGGCAGCATATCTTAAATCAATAGATAAAAATCATCTCTTAGAGATTGGTCTTGAAGGATTTTATGGGGATAACAAGAAGCAGTACAACCCTAATAATCTGGAACCTGGGACTAATTTCATCTCCAACAATCAAATTTGGGAAATTGATTTTACCACAATCCATATCTATCCTGATCAATGGTAATCTCTAATCCCCTTTTTTCATGCATATATATTATAAATTACAATATATGACCGGTGTAAATTCATATAATCGAGGTTGAAATGTAATTATTATTGTCAATTTTTAAAAAATATTATTTTTGCTTTTGTCAATCGAACATATTAACAATTTGGCTAAGGTTATTTATATATGGATTTAACGAATATTTACGCTATCAGTATGATTTAACTTATTGTAGCAAGGACATGATTTATATTTCTAGGTTATTATTGATCCTCTATTTGTGGATTGTATCCTTTAGTTTTCTTTTATTGTATAAAGTCAATTTATAAAAGTTAAACTCTTTAAATTTTTGTATCTTATTTAAACGGAGAAGGCTCCTGAGTTGTACTCCATTTTTCTCAAACATTTTTATTTTATCTCCTTTTTTTTTGGGGAAACTCAATGAGATCAATTTAAATTTTAAAAGTCAAATCATGAATAAAAAATATGATTCATTTTTAAATTCAACATCCATTGATTTTGACTTTCGAGACTACATAAAAGACCAGTTGTTTAGCAATTTATCTTTTCAAAGGTATAACTACAAACTATAATTGCTCTAAAAAATAATAGCCGAGAAATAAATAAATAAATATATATATATATATATATTTATATATATTTATATTTATATATTAATATATAATGTACATATTTTATACATAACCAATATATTGTATATTTAGCTAGCGAATTTAATTATTAACTTGCCCTAGTTTGTACCCTTAATCGGGCTCTGTCGATTCTGGACCAGTTCGGCTACTAACAATCCCAGTGCTTAAATTTAAAATAGCTAACGGATATATAATGTATGTATAATTCATGTATAATATATGTATAATTATTGTATAATTTATATATATTAGCTATAAAAAAATAAACAATAAATTCGACCAGCTATTTGAATAAAAATCCCTAACCTTTTGGATTGTTGGCTACCTGGGGCATTTGCATCTAACCCGCTTTTTGTGTCGCGTTTTAACTTGTGCCCGCTTTGCAAAAAAAAATTGCAAACGTACCCGTTTTTTCGCATAACTTCAGCATGCGGGGCTGAAATAGCAAAGGTAATCACGCAAAACTTCAGCATTCTAGTAGTCGGGCCTGAAGTTCAGCTCTAAAGCTGAAGTTTTTATTTGTAACTGGCAAACTTCAGCTCTAGATCTGAAGTTTTTGTTTTTGTAACTGGCGAGCTGAAGTTTTTGTTTTGTAACTGGCGAACTTCAGCTCTAGAGCTGAAGTTTTTATTTGTAACTGGCAAACTTCAGCTCTAGATCTGAAGTTTTTGTTTTTGTAACTGGCGAGCTGAAGTTTTTGTTTTGTAACTGGCGAACTTCAGCTCTAGAGCTGAAGTTTTTATTTTTGTAATGATAATGCAATGTGGAGAGAAAATCAAGAATGTGAAAAATAAATCATTTATCTACTTGCACCCGTATTTAGGGATTTGTAAGTTTCTGCAGCAGCCATGTTCCTCTCAAGGCAGATCAAAATGTTGTATTAACTATTTTATTATTTTCTTATAATATTAAATTACAGAATATATATTTGCTTGCACTTGCTCATCAGGATTAGACACAGTAGAAACAAAGCTAGAAGTACCCAACACTTTCGTCGATATAAAGTTGTCAAACTGTCACACTGCATTAATAATGGTATTGTTATCGGTAGAAGGAAAGTCAAAATCTTGAAAAAAACTAAAGAAATTTGAAGGATAATCCTTCGGAGTGGGAAATGGGAACGGAATTTAAAAAGAAGAAAAAGAAGGAGAAGAAGAAGAAGAAGAAGAAAAGGAAGGAGGAGAAAGGGGCTGAAGTTATTTAAAAAATGGGTACAAGTTAAAAGTTTTAAAAAATATATATAGATTAAATGGGAGCGACCAAATAGGGAGCCCCGTGCAATTTTTACTGTCATTTCCACTTCATCCAACCTGTCAGTTTTGTATTTTGCTCGAGTTTGTACCCTTAACCGGGCTTTGTCAATTTTGGACCGGTTCAGTTACTAACCTTTTGGACTGCAGGCTACAACCAGGTACAAGCCCAGAGGACCAAGATAAATGGGCTTCACAATGGATCCAAGCCCATATAGATGATTCCAAATTATTAAAAAAGCCTCTACTTATTGCAGAATTTGGCAAATCTTCAAGTACCCCAGGGTATAATGTTACAATGAGAGACAATTATTTTGGGAAAATATATGGAACAATTTTTAATTGTGCCAAATATGGAGGCCCATGTGGTGGTGGGCTTTTTTGGCAACTTTTGGCCCAAGATATGGATAATTTTGGTGATAGTTATGCTGTGGTCTTGCAACTCAGCCCATCAACTGATAGAGTTATAGCTTTACAATCTCTAAGGCTCTCTAAACTATTAGAATATAAAAATAGATTTTAATTGTAATAATGTTTTTATTTCATTTCAAGTATTATTGTAATTTATATAGCTTTGACCATCTTGATCAAAGATAGCTTTATAATCTCTATATTATTTTAGACTTAAAAAAAATTATCTCGTGCTAATATGTGACTTTTAGATGTGTGAATGACATGTTATGTTTGACATATATTCTTTCTGTTTTATTTTATATGATAGTATTTGAACGAGGAAAATGTTTAAAAAAGATAGAATTATGGTACAAACAAAAGTAACTTTAGAATTTTAGTCTTGAACAAGTTATAAGAAGCAAGGTATCAAGGGTAAAGTGAGAAGTTTAAAATTAAAAAAAAACTCACAGAAAGGTTTCAAGTTTTATAGAACAGACTAAAAGAAAAAAAAATACTATATGAAAAGAAATATAAGTACAGTAGTATGTCTTTTTTTTTGTTTACAGAAGTAGTATCAAAGTATGTGACTAACATACAATGTTGAGTTGAAACAATGGCGACACACACACACATGTAACATATACGATTAAATGGTGTGGTTGGGTGGTTGAAATTCATCCACCTTTAATCAGGTGTCTCGAGTTCAGATTCTGGGAATAAAGAATTTCTTGCTAGGGAGCAATTTCACCCTATAATAACCTATTCGATGCGAATCTGAATTAGTTGACTAGTGAATATTGGCACCAGTGTTTTGGGGTCCAATCATATACATATATGTGCACAAAAGGCCAGTATAGACAAAGTTGGATATAGCTAACACTGTAGTGAGCAGGGACGGAAGTAGGCTTTAAGCTTACCAGTTCGGCAGAATCTAATAGTTGTGGCAAAAATATTGCTATGTTTGAGAAATTCGTTAAATATGTATAAAATTTTGATTCAGGATCCTATTACTATTACTTAGAGGTCTCTGTCGTAAAATCCAGAATTCATAAAATTTAAATTCTTGATCCGTTTCTAGTAATGAGCCTCCTCACATCTTCCTTGCTTGATGTCAAAAGTTTGTTGCTTTTCTTTCGTATCACTATTCTACAGTTGCTCCGTGAACTCTTGTCAGTCTTAAAATGTCGAGTAAATAAAGATTATCTTTACTTATATTCATTTTGAGTTTGTCTGAATTGATGTTAATTAATTTAGTATTTAAGAATATCAATTACTTCCTCCGGTCTACTTTAATTATTTTTTTTTTTTTTGTGCTTCACAATATTTAGTTTTTCAGATGTCAAGCAGTAATTAATTTTGTTTTCCAAAGTTACCCTTGGAGTAAAGAGCCTAGGAGTATTTATTATATTTCCAATGAACAAATTAACGTTAATATGGTCAATTTTATTATTAGTTAATGTTAAAAGATAGATTTCTTAATATGTGTGAAAACAGCCAAAAAAATCAATTAAAGTGGACCGAAGGAAGGATAAATTATGAACTAAACTTTAATAGTCGAATAAAGGGTCAAGCTGCATAAACTTAAATAGGTGTCTAGACTATATATAGTTTCTTAACCATAAATCAAGGCAGTTCCTATAGAATTGCACTTTGACATGATTACCACCTTGTTAATTAATGATTCAACCTAATGCTTGATAAATTACTTATTCTGCAAACTTGGATAAAAATTACGTAAAAAGTTTACTTATATATAATAGCATGTGACTTGTTATTGAGCACATGTGACAAATATTGGAAAAAGCAATATAGTAAATCGAACTTTTCAATAACTCCTATTAAATTAATTAGTTCGCATAATTTGATCATTTATTCTCGGAAGATGCATGTGAGAATTGACATGAACTATATCCACATTATTTTGCAAATTATATATGGTTAAAAAGTTTTTATATCAAAATTACAAAATATAGACATCTTTCTCACTCTTTTTTTTTTTTCTTTCCTTCTGCTTCTAACAAATCGAACTGTGGTGATGAAGAAAGTGATAAGAAGATCCAGAAGAGTAATTAGGGTGACAAAAGTAGGGAAAACAAGGATTGTGGTGGAGTGGTAAGTAATCCTTCATCATTAACTAGAGGTCTCGGCTTCGAGTCTGGGTATGGAATCGTCTTTGTTGGGGGCTTTACCCTCCTAAGGGTAATCGATGTGAACCATAGGGTTTAGAAGCAGCTGCTTTTAGTCATTCCCAACGTTTAGATTGAGTAGACATCAATCGATGTGAACCATAGGGTTTAGAAGCAACTGCTTTTAGTCATTCCCAACGTTTAGATTGAGTAGACATCAAAGGGGAGAGAAGACGATAGTCTGCACCAGCCAAGCGTTGTATAACATACATTGAAATGCTGTATTTACCCACTAACCGATACAAGACAAGAGTCGATCGACAGTATTTTTGTACTTGATTTTTTCATTTGCTTTTCACTAGTAGGACAATGTGATACTTAGGTACCTCATCAGGAGGGCAAATAAAACTTTCAAAGGTTACCAATATTAGCAGCAACTTGTGACTAGAAGGGTCAGTTGCTTCCCTTGTGACTAGAAGGGTCTTTCTCACTGGGCGAGTAGATCCTCATCATTCTATGCAAATGTGACCTTAACGGCCTCATTTCAAGCAATTATTCGCTTCAAGATGTACGACAAGACCTTCATTCTCTCTCTCTCTCAGAGCACAACTGTATAACATAGACTTGAACACGAGTCTAAAATATATGCATATCTATCCCTCACATGTATGCACCCACGTCCGGG